GGGAGGGCAAGGACCTCCGCCGGGAGGGCAAGGACCTCCGCCGGGAGGGCAAGGACCTCCGCCGGGAGGGCAAGGACCTCCGCCGGGAGGGCAAGGACCTCCGCCGGGAGGGCAAAGACCTCCGCCGGGAGGGCAAAGACCTCCGCCGGGAGGGCAAAGACCTCCGCCGGGAGGGCAAAGACCTCCGCCGGGAGGGCAAAGACCTCCGCCGGGAGGGCAAAGACCTCCGCCGGGAGGACAAAGACCTCCGCCGGGAGGACAAAGACCTCCGCCGGGAGGACAAAGACCTCCGCCGGGAGGACAAAGACCTCCGCCGGGAACACTACCTGCCATGGCAGTAGTAGCAGGCCATACTTCAATATCCCCTATCCAGCAGCACATGATTGCTTTTGCTTCGCTCCCTGCTACTGGAAAGGAATGATTCTCTCTAAAAGAACTAGATAGACTTATGAACCAATTAAGGGGTCCTTTGTTTGTTACCCAAATTGACTCTTTCATCCCTAAACACCACAATGAAGCGCTGTTTCTGGTGATACACATGGTAACTACAAATGCATGCCAGAGATCGATTCACCCCACGCATATGAACTTGGCCTGCTGTGCCCTTCTTATACCTTCCCCTTCATGCACATGGCTTGATTAGTTCCCCCCTCTATAAAATTGTGTTTCTATTCTCTGTCCTTTTCATGAATGAATTCTCTCCATTCTCTGACCATTTCTGCAGTGCCAAATAATCCAAATCCAATAGACTGCGGCACAACCTTGAAATGACTGATTGAATCAGGCCGGGGAGAATGTATTCCAGACACAATGCAATGACAATATTGCCAACAATACAATTGAGCGTAATAAAACTATCCAGAGCAAAGATCCGTCATGATAAACAGTCCTTTGGCGGAGCACGGGATTCTGGGAAATTAGTATACTGCCGCCAGTCGGAATTCACGGTATTCCTTTTGACACGTAAACACTGAAAAGTGCTTGCTGCAGACTTAACGTAAGAGTTGTGTATTGTGGGTTTTAAATATTTAAAGCGGGCCCGCACTCAAATATTACCAACGTATAGCCATGTATGTTTACACACCTGCCATGAGGATACTGTGACCATATGCCTAGGCTTTTGGTCACATGACCAGCACTGGAGGAGGTCCAAGGGTTTGCGTAGATGAGCTTCAGACTCAGACATGAGCCAACATTTTCAGGTGCAATTATAGAAGTATCCTGTTGCACTCCTTACCGATTTCAGAAGATCAGGCGGGTGCTTGAAATGACCACGGGTGGCACAGTGTACCACATACAGTCCAGAAACGTTACCAGCACACCATTAGACGTGGAAGAAATCCATTCAATGACACACATTTGTCATTCAAATGCAAATGTTTTTGGGGGCCACACAGGGTCCCCTTCATCAGGGTTCATTCATTCTGAGCCTGATGAAGGGGACACTGTGTGGCCCCGAAAACGTTTGCATTTGAGTGACAAGTGTGTGTCATTAAATGGATTTTTTTCACGTCTTCCAGTGTGCTGGTGATGTTTCTGGACTGAACAGTTTCAGGTGCTTCTCAGATAGAGATCTGAGAAGACCCGAGATCAGACTTGAATTGGGGGTAAGCTGGCCATACATTGGTCAAATTTCATCCTGCTGATGACCATTGGCACCCGCAGTTCGTCAATCAACTCTTGTCAAAGGACCTGATCTGAACAGTTCCTGCAAGAAGAGCAGCTGGAAGCCCATGTACACAAGCATCATGAATACTACATTCAGCCTATGCTTACCCGTCCATAGAAGCCATGGCTTCCATACACTGCACTGATGATAACCAGCAAGCCTGGAACAGCTATATGCAGTTTGAGATGAATGCTTCTATGATATTAGGTTGTATTTCTACCATACACTTGCAGTTCTGGATGAACAGCAAGCCATTTGGGAATAAAGGAATGATTTGCATGGTTCTGCCTACTATCCTGAAATTAGTAATAATGAGAATACATTCTGTTCTAAGGCGCCCTTATTTTGCTATGCTCTGGTTCAGTTGGAAGGCTTTCTGGTACTTTTGGTCCCTCCTCTTCATTAGAGTTTATTGGGTTAAAGTATCTACAGCCAAACATTTTCTGTTAGTTGTGGACTGAGAAGGGTAAAACCCCTGCTGGGTTATTTTTATTTGCCGTCTGGGGAAATATCCCATCACTTCCTGTCCCAGAGATGCAACAGGAAGTTATAGGTGAATTCTCCTCACTTTCCTCTAAGGCCCCGTTTACACCAGGGCGGTTCGGTCGCGTGAATTTGTCCGCGGTGAACCGCCGACATGAACAATCCCATATATATATATTTGTATGGGGAACGTTCATGCCAGTGAGCAGCTCCGAACTGTCTGCCGCCCAAAATGCTCCCTGGGCTACTTTTTTTCGTGCTGATCCATATAGATTTCAATGGAAACGTGCTGATCGGCGTGTATTTGGGCGCTTTTAATTGCGTTTCAGCGCAGAAAAGTGATTAGAAACGACCTTTCAAAAATCGCTGAAACACTTCCGCCATGATATGAATGGGGCCTTAGACAGTTGTAAGGAAGGAAGTGAGTGTCAATGTCAATTTTTTTATTCATGACCTATTGCAGAGCTGGTTCATGACAGGTCCTCTGGAATTAAAAGTTTTATTTTGTAAGTGAGTTGGATGTTTCCCTAAATGAGTGTGTTGTGTACCCAATGTATGTCTCTGCTATAAATACACAATATAGAAAAAAAAAAAGTTGGGTGTACCTCTAGGAACTTTATGAAGGCGGGCCGGGCTTCCTTGGCCACTCTAACAGCGTCTTTGGCGTTGAGGAAATTATCGATGTAAGCAGAGTAGATGCTGACCAGGATGTCCTTGGAGAACTGCAAAGAAGAGACGGGTTAGTTTAAAAAGTTCCTCGGTGGCTTTAAAATAAAGAATACATTGATCATGATTGAATTCCCTATTTATATATCGATCATTGGTAGAGCACAGACAGTGGGCAATCTCCAGTGGCTCTTTGGTCTAGAACAACTTTGAAGGACGTCGGTCACTGATGGACAACCGGTCACTGATGGACAACCGGTCACTGATGGACAAACGGTCACTGATGGACAAACGGTCACTGATGGACAAACGGTCACTGATGGACAAATGTCACTGAGGGCCTGTTCACACGACGTCCGTTTTCTGTGCTGACCTGATCCTTACGCTCCTGCGCTAAAAATACATCCCAATGTATCCCTATGTGTTTTATGGGCTACAGTTCTCACGTGCGCAGTCCGTTCAGGTTACGACAGAATACTGCATGTCACATTTTGTCCGGTCAGGAAACGCAAAACGTGTCAAAAACGCACTGCACTGCAGCTAACATACTGACAGCCCCACTACAGCAAAAAAAAATTATATATATATATTTTTTAACTGGAACGCATCAAAAACGCACTGCATCAGTAGCACCGCGTCTGCAGATCCGCACCTGATCAGGGCCTGATATCATGTGAACAGGCCCTCAAGGACAACCGTCACTGAAGGACAACCGTCACTGAAGGACAACAGTCACTGAAGGACAACCGTCATTTACGATATATGTGGGAGACCAATACTGTCTGTAAAGTACATGTAACAATAATAAATGAATACATACATAACTAATGGTAGTCCAGCTATAGTTCTTACAATAATCATGACATTTAGGAGGCCTTGATAATACTAAAGGTTCATGACTCCTGATCTCTTTGCAGGTGGAAGCAATATCAGAGATGCTGCTGTAATGGAAGGGAAGGGGTGGGGGGTTGTGTAATATCCCAGTAGGTTCTTTCTTATACAATATTCCCCCAGCACCAGATGATGTGTAGCATTATAAAACTGGCAAGTGGCAAGCAGTCGTTGGAGAGCATGGCCAATGACAATCTCTTTCGAGGCACATCCTGGATTAAAAAAAAAGACTCAGAAGAGATTCTCAATGGCTAGTATGGTCATGTGGCCATGATGACCAATAACCACTTGCCATTGCCAGCATTATGATACTAAATAGCCTACGGGGCGGTGTAGTGAGGTTTTGATGTGTTCGGCCCTGTAATATACTTACCGAGCCGCGCTTTGGGAATGGACTACAGCGCTGCCCACTTCCCCAGGGTCATGCGGCTCCTCCCCAGCTCTCAGTCTAAAGTTGGGAAGTTTAAATTGCTTGGCGTCCTAGTAAACAACAGACGCTGAGCATTTCACTTCCCCTAGTGATACTGCTCTCCACCCTGATTTGGACTGGACTCGCCTTCCTTTTAGCTGCTGAATGATCTGGCAGACAATTAACCTTTTCCTCCTCTCAACTCCGGATAGCTGTAACTTCATTTATCGGACTCTTTTTAGGCTACAAGCATCCATCCATCCACTCATACCCTGGATTGTCATGCATCTCTCATGATTGCTTCCACGTTGCCTGGTCTCCATTAAAGATAAGGTTCCACTTACAGCCACTCAGCAGCATACCCTCTAGGGGAGTCTCTGCTGTACAGGGACTGAAAGTACCCCGATACCAGGTGCCATTTAGGTACTTACACTGATTGTATTTTAAAAAAACAAACATTTAATGATAAATTATTAAAAAGCAGCATTTATGTCTTTTAGATCTGCTTAGATTTCAGCTTTAAACCAACCCTACATCCAGCTGGACTCCTGTCACTCAGTACACAGACACGCTGGGCCCTCACAGAACACAATATTAGCCTGCATGGAAAAAATAAATGACACAATTCAGAAAGTGTATCTCCATTCTCTGGCCCCGGAGCGACATTTAATCAGCTCTTTACTGTGAACTTGTTACAATGCGGGAAGATCAGAAGCCGACCTCTCTCTCAGCCATCGCATTTTACTTCACGCTGGATTTTGGGAGGCGATATTTTTAGACTCGGTGACGCAGGGACATCGAAGAGGCTTAAACTCTAAAGTCACTTGCTGTGTCCTGTACTTACTTCCCTGTGCAGGGGCGGACAAAAAAATGGAAGCATGAAATGACAAAAGAATTTGAAGTGCAATGGTGAGGACAGAAATATTTGAGCAAATGTTCTTGGAATATGGAGTATGCCAGGTACAGAATAGTTTATAAACTTTCGAACAGGGCAAAGGAAATATCTTCATTTTTTTGGGGTTACATTTAGTATTAGGGCTTAGATTATAGCTGGGGTTACATCAGGTTCTAGGGCAGAGGTAGGCAAACCCCGGCCCTCCAGCTGTTTTTGAACCACAAATCCCTTGGGGGAAGACTGAGCCACGGGCATGAATCCAATGAGACAGATGCATTATGGGATATGTACTATCACCACAGCTAGAGGGCCGGAGTTTGCCTAGCGCTGTTCTAGGGGGTTAAAGTATCTATCTTATGTAACCGAACTACTATTCTTCTCCTTCTGGGTGCTTCACAATGTAGCGCTGAATGGGGAATAAAGCTCTCCCCAAAGTGAAATGCTTAAAGGAGAACTATGGGGTAAGTGTTTTTACCCCATAGTTCTCTTTAGGGTCACGGGAGGACATATACTAATCTCCTCCCGTGACCCAAAGCTCAGTATATAGCGGGCTATTGCTACAGCCGGGACGGATCCTGACATTACTGTCGAGATCCACCCAGCTGCATGAATGACAGCTGGCTCTGCCTATCTAGAGGCAGAGTCAGCTGTGCCCGCCCCCTCTCTCGTTCACACCTCCACTCAACGCTGGAGGATCGGCGAGTGGAGGGGGAATCCCTGCGGTGAGCAGTGACTGACAGTCGTCGCTCACTGCAGGGAGATGATCGGGAAGTGAGCGGATCGGCTGCATGTTTCTGCTCACTTCCCAATCAATAGAGCCGACCTGTGACAGGTTCTTTGTCACAGGTCGGTTCTAACTATGAGTGGAAATCACTCACGTCATAGTTCTCCTTTAAGTTCACCGTCTACCAACCCACTACGTTACATAAAAGTGGCACATGTGATATCACTCTAATCAGCGGACTTTGTTGATGATATATTTCTGGAACTATAAGGAGGATGCATAAATGACAAATATCTTTATTTATTTCCAATAGAAACCAAGAATATAAAAATATATGTATGCAAATTAAATCCTGGTCTGTCCAGAAAGAAACAAAGTATAATGTGCGGGACATTCTAGGAACACTGGGGACATTGCAGAAACAAAAACACTCCGGTACTCAAGGGGATTCGGGGAGAGAATGGGTTCGGGGGCTCAAGTGGTTAATAGCTGAGAACTTCCATGGAATATATAACTGTCACTCTGAACATCTTCAGAAGCTCCATATAAATGTTTAACCCGCCGAAGTGATTAATAAATCAGAGGCGTTTCATTATCCAACAGCATGTTCTGCAGAATACCATATCACAGAGGTCATTAGAAGGAGCTGCCTAGTGGATCCTGTGGGGTTTTTGTTCTCCTACTAGAGACCCCAATGTGGTGATACGCAGTCTTAAAGGGTCTCTAAACCCAAAGAACAACATTGTAATATATTGCAGTTTACCGGTACTTGAATGTTATGAACATCAAAATGTTCTTAAGCCATTTCAAATGTTGATGAAATCACTGACCATGGATGCTGCTCCTTAATATTTAAAAGGTTTAGTTTCCTGTGGAATCAGCTGGTCCCCTGAGCACTGGTCCTGATATCCTGTTATAGGGCCCATTCACACCACATCCAGATTACAACCAGACCAGACTGTTTCTGGACCCAAAATGCATCCCTATGCTATTTCTGGCCTCTGTTCCCACCAGCGCAGTCCGTTCCAGACCAGAAAAATACTGCATGTCCTATTTTGTCTCGTATGGAATGCACTGGAACGCATGAAAAAACACATGGAATGCACCTGTAAGACCATTTTAAGCTAAAAAAAAAAAAAAACACGGCAAAAATGCAATGCACTATGTTCCAGATCTGGTCCTAAAAATGGTGTGAACTCAGCCATAGGGTGACTCCCATTCCCCTGCAGGGTCCTATGGAGCCACCCTTGTGTATGCTAGTAAGCGGACACAGCAAAGCAAGCCACTTCCCTCCCCCCTGCTCCTCATTTCTCCTTCCTCCCTTCTCCAAGCTAGTTGATGGACAGCTGCTGCAGACAGCTCTGTCCCTTGTGATCTTGTACTGGACAGGAAGTTCCAGGAAGCGGAGCAGAAAGAGTCAGAGCTGTTTGGAAACATGAAGACTAAGTGCTTAAGAAATATCTTGTTGGACAATATATATTTATTTGATCAGGATTCATTAAAAGAATGTTGAGTGTTTAATACTACTTCAGATGTGGTGGCTGCATTAGTTTCCTTTTTTCAGTTTTTACTATGAACTTTATGTTGTAATCCTTCCAGTAACACGCTTCCTGAACTGAGGGGTTACATTCCTGAACAGACCCCCTCTGCTTCAAAGTGATGGCTAGTTGTGATGAAAATCAAATATCTGAGAGGACCCCTCTATGTTCTTCCATGAAGGGGTGCCAAACAGAGCGGCAAAATCCAAAATAAAAAAATCAACCTTTAGACCAGGGGCGCCCACTATTTTTCATCTGGAGATCTACTTTTCAAATGACGAGCTCATTGAGATCTACCAACGAAAAAACCCTGCATTCAGGGCCGGGAGGGGGCGTGGGCTGCGCAGGCAGGCCCCTCGCCCACAGTGCGATCGCCTGCATTAGTGCCTGTGTTCCAGTCCAGTGCGATCCGCAAAAATGCTGCGAGCACTATTTTTGCAGATCGCACTGGACCGGAATGCAGGCACTAATGTGCCTGCGTTCCGAGTGCGGGCGATCGCACTGTGGGCGATGCCATTGACTTCAATACAGCTCCACACCCCCTCCCGCACCGGAACGCAGGGAGTCGGCCTGCTTACATTCCAGTGCATTCCAGTACATTACAGGTCCCGGCGTCCTGTCCTCCCGTGGTGCTCGTGTGGCCGACGTTGCACATGGGGTGTCCTGCACCTTTCCATCTGCAGCGTCTGACACATTCAGCCGGCAGCCGCACGAGCACCACGGGAGCATAGCCGTAGCCAGCTCCTTTTGCGCCTGAGGCAAGAAAAAAAACGTTTTTTTAATTTATTTTTTATCTATTTTTTATTTTATTTTCATTATTTTTCGTAAATTTTTTTTTTTTTTTTTACTCTTGGGGGGGCTTCGGGGAAATATTAGGGGTCTAAAAAGCCCCCTGATATTTCCCTTTTAAAATAGAAAAAGAAATTGAGGACACAAAGTCCTCAATCTCTTTCTCTGCAGTCTCTATTCTAAATGAATGGAAAGCAAAGAGGCTTCCCATTCATTCAGAAAATATTTTACTATCGAGCTGTTTCTGAATGGGGAGGAGCCTCCGTACAGAGTGCTTCTCCCCATTGAGAAACTTATGAATGAACAGGAGGTGATGTAAATCACCTCCTGTTCATTCATTTATAACTGGGGACACATAGTACTATGTGTCCCCAGTTATTTACAAACACTGGAGTGATCAGCCGATCGCTCCAGTGTTTGTCCTACACAGAGGATTGGTACATACTAGTGACATGTACCGATCCTCTGCCGCTCGTCCACGCACAGGGGGGCTGCAACTTCTCTGGATCCCCCTGCTCTCCCGGGCAAAGGCAGCGGGGGATACGACGAGCCGCGGGGGGGGGCGGAGCCGCTGTGACAGAACGGACGAGCAGTGAGGGGAGAGAGAGGCGCCGACTGTCAGATCCTGGCCGAGCGTCTCTCTCTCTCCTCACTGCTCTGCATTAGTTAGTGACAGCGGCTCCGTCCTTCCCCGCCGCCGGTTCCTTCACTTCTTCTCGGATCCACGCTGGGGAGAGCAGCGGGGATCCAGAGAAGCTGCGGGAGGAGAGGACATGGCGATCTACCAGTGATCGCTACGCGATCGACTGGTAGATCGCGATCGACCTTATGGGCACCCCTGCTTTAGGAGAACAAAACTGCTGCCAAGAGATCTCACTCTGTAAGGCTGGGCACACACCTTACAACCATCGCTTTTGTCTTGCGATAGTTATAAGGTACTTAAAACAACGTACGATCTGCCTATCTTGCATAGGCAGATCGTACTTGCGATGATTGCAAGCCACGCCCCCTGAGGGGCGGGCTTCCGATGACCGCAATGCCGAACAGGCAGTGTGCGCCTGCGCACACCGGCCCGTCCGGCTTTTATCTCACGAACATGCTACACACCCGCCAAACATCGTACGATGCTCAGCGGGTTTTGAAACATGTTTCGTAAGTTTAAAGCTCTACTACTGTAAGGTCGCACGGCTTCCACACACCTTACGATAATCGTAAGGTGTGTGGGGACCTTAAAGATCATTTGCAGACTGCTGGTCGTTTCTATAGCACTGCAGCTCAGGTCTCTACACAGTGCACACCTGCCCTAATCAGGAACGCACTAAAGCAGACTGCTGGATATTCAGCCTGTGCCTGGAACCTGGGCTCCGTTTAGGATTGGTTCTTCTGTGCCTGACCTGGCCATTAGCCTGTTGCCTTCAATACTGTCTGTATGCTCTGACCATCTGTCCTAGGAATAAAGGTATGCTCTGACCATCTGTCCTAGGACTAAAAGGTATGCTCTGACCATCTGTCCTAGGACTAAAGGTACCCATACACCTGCCGATTATCGTACGATAATCGCGGGTGATCCCGCGATCGTACGATAATCGGCAGTTGTATGGGCAGCGTGTGACCACTTCTACTGTAAGGTCGCACAACTTACGACTTACGTCTTCCGAGCACGCTGGAAAACCTTCCGAAAATCGGACGATTTTCGGCGGGTTGGTGGCGTGCTCGGAAGACGAATGCAGCTCAGGCCGGTGTGCGCAAGCACGTACTGCCGGCTCAGCACTGCAATCGTCGGAAGCCCTCTCCTCAGCGGGGAGGGCTTGCGATGATTGCAAGTACGATCTGCCTGTCCAAGATGGGCAGATCGTACGAAATTTTAATCACCTTACAACCATCGCACAACGAAAGCCGTGCGATGGTTGTAAGGCAGCTTTACACCTTCATGAGAAATGAGTCCACTTAAAGACAGCATGTGGTATAAAATGACATCATACTTCATCTACAGTAGCATTGAATATATCTTTTGCGTGGCCAAACCCTTTCATTTAGACTCCCAAGAAGAGCTGGTTACAGAATGGTTATGGAGGAGCGCCTACATTGCACTTCACTTCTGTTACTTACAGACTGTGCCAGGATGTCACCCACGGTTTGGATGTCGGGCCAGTTCTGCACCACGTGATTGACCTGCTCCAGAAACTGCTCGTGATGTTCCAACAATTCTGGGATCTGATCGAAGATTTCGTCCACCAGGGCTGGATCACACAGGAAGGAATTCTCGGGCTGCTTCAGAGGCTTCATGTAACCCTGCAGGGGGAAAAATCAGATTCATGAAATATGCATCACTATAAGTCAGTCATTTTATAATCCGGCTGGCCGCCCGGGAAGCCGAGAGAATTGTTCTTTGTGACAAAGAGCATTAAATTGTTCTTTTTTTTAATTATAAAAAGGGGATCGTGTGGTCAGGGGGGCACACACCATATTTTGACAATGTATCTAAAGCAAAAAAAAAATTTTGTTTTCATTTGCATCATACTCTGCCATAGAGTAGGGAATGGTTAAAATACCTGACGGATTTATTGTTTATTCTAGTTACCAATAAAACAAAATTGGTAAAACACAGAAATTAATTATAAAAATTTGAGCTCCATCTATTCTCTCTGCTTGTTTTATACACAACAAGGCTGACAGGTTGCAGGAGGCGGGGCAGTGACCACATAGGAATGTGATAACCTGAGGATTAGTCTTCATGGTCATGTAGATAGGAACTGGGGACAAGTACTAACAATTCTCAGCGCAGAATGTGACCATTACAAATTAAATCTTTTTTTTTTTTTTGCCTACAAATACTCTTCAAAAGCCAAAGCCGACGGCTTCGGGTGGAACTCCTGTTTATCTAGCTACAGGCTTCATACACTGAGACCTATTACATCAGGACACCGCTACAGCCTTGCAGCCACCATATGACTGGTGCAGCCCCATAAGAGCAAAACAGGTCCATCGCCGACGTTCACTTCAGCGTCTTCAGACCGAACCACGCTTTGATTTGTAATGAAGTGCTTTGCACTCATAAATCTTATTAATTAGATGAGGAGCGCACAAATCCATTTGCATGTCTCTAGAAGTGGAGTGGTTGAAGCAGAGAGGATGTTCAGGCAAGATGCCAGAATCTGGGTCTCGGGAAGTCAATACGCCAGACCCGGCATTGGAGGTTTTTGAGTGCGGCTAAATGTTATGCATCAAAGTGACCTAGAAAATGACAACTAAGCCAAAATCGATTAGATCAGCAAGATCCAATTTTGTGCTGCAAACATTTTTAATCCTGTTTAGCAACGGACACACTGCTGCATTCAATCTCAGACACTTCTGTGGTCGCCCACTATCAAGTGGCACTATGGCAGGGAACCCAGAATGGCCAGTTATTCTTGTTGGCTGCAGAGGAGCATAATTGGGTGGTGGATGCCCTTTACATTGGCATTCTGCCCTATATGGGCAAGGTGACAGCACCTTATCACTATGGCAGGGGACTAGGTCACCAGCCCCACCATACCCAGAATGGCTGGTTATTCTTGTCGGCTACAGAGGAGCTGCGAGGGAGCACCAGTGAATGTAAGGGGGATGCCCTTTGCCCTACACAAGCAAGGTGATAGCATCTTTTTAAAAGGTCCTTATCACTATGGCAAGGGACTAGGCCCCCAGCCCCACCATACACAGAATGGCTGGTTATTTATGTTGGCTACAGAGGAGCTTGCGAGGAAGCACCGGTGAGTGTACGGGGGATGGGGATGCCCTCTGCCCTGTCACTCTGCCCTACGCGGGCAAGGTGACAGCATCTTTTTAAAGGTCCTTATCACTATGGCAGGGGACAAGGTCATCATCAGCCCCCACCATACCCACAATGGTCAGTTATTCTTGTTGGCTGCAGAGGAACAAGGAGCTGCGTGTAAGCACTGGTGATTATAAGGGAGCTGAGGATGGGCAAGGCGACTGTGTCTTTTTAAAGGTCCTTATCACTATGGCAGGGGACTAGGTCACATGACTCACCATACCCACAATGGCCGGTTATTCTTGTTGGCTGCAGAGGAGCAAGGAGCCGAGTAGGAGCACTGGTGATAGGGGGGCTGGGGATGCCCTTTGCACTGTCACATTACACCTACACGGGCAAGGTGACAGCGTCTTTTTAAAGGTCCTCCTTATCACTTTTCACACAGAGTAGAAGACTCCGAGCAACATGACTAACACAACTCTAATGCATACAGCTACTAATATTTTAGTGGGAATTCCTTTTATGTTTTGTGCCTTTCACTGACAGTGGCAGGCTGTACCATCTGGAATCCCTCTTTCTTCCCACTCAGCTTGGTTCCTTCCTCCTAACGTGCACACTCACGATGGGAAGGCAGCCTAGCCTGCTGGGTACATACATGACTAACTGCCGGTCTACTGCTCCATAGTCCACTGGCATGACCTTTCCCTGTATGTGTACCAGCGGGTGTACAAATGCATACAAGGGTGGACATACTCCGATAGTGGCCCCTGACCCCGGGCCCTCTACCCCACATGCTTGCAATATTTAATTGATAAACACAACTACTCTGTTTCCCCCTCTTCAAAAAATCTGTCCCATTTTATTTGCACAACAGCTTATAGAGAATTGATTAAGGCGGGGACCCCAAACTTCAAACAAAGGGCCAGATAAATGTCTTCAAGACACTAGAATGGCCAGACTGTGGCCAGTGGGAGTAGAAAAAAAATGCCTCAGGCTTGGTGCTCAGTGGGAGTAAAAAATGCCCCAGGGTTGGTGCTCAGTGGGAGTAAAAAATGCCCCAGGGTTGGTGCTCAGTGGCAGTAAAAAATGCCCCAGGGTTGGTGCTCAGTGGCAGTAAAAAATGCCCCAGGGTTGGTGCTCAGTGGGAGTAAAAAATGCCCCAGGGTTGGTGCTCAGTGGGAGTAAAAAATGCCCCAGGGTTGGTAGTCGGTACAAGTAAAAATAATTACCTATCTCATGTAGTTATTGGGAAGAGGGATTGTTGGCACCAGTGGGAGAAATAGCCCCCTATCGTTAGTAGAAGTGGGAGGAATAGTCCCCTATTGTTAGCATCAGAGGAGTCCCCTATTGGTAGTATTAGTGGGAGGAATAGTCCCCTATTGGTAGTATTAGTGGGAGGAATAGTCCCCTATTGGTAGTATTAGTGGGAGGAATAGTCCCCTATTGGTAGTATTAGTGGGAGGAATAGTCCCCTATTGGCAGTATTAGTGGGAGGAATAGTCCCCAGTCGGTAGTATTAGTGGGAGGAATAGTCCCCGTCGGTAGTATTAATGGGAGGAATAGTCCCCGTCGGTAGTATTAGTGGGAGGAATAGTGCCCCGTCGGTAGAATTAGTGGAGTGGGGGGGATATCACCCCATCGGTAGTATTAGTGGGAGGAATAGCCCCCCGTCGGTAGTATCAGTGAGAGGAATATTGCCCCGTCGGTAGTATCAGTGAGAGGAATAGTCCCGTCGGTAGTATCAGTGAGAGGAATAGTCCCGTCGGTAGTATCAGTGAGAGGAATAGTCCCGTCGGTAGTATCAGTGAGAGGAATAGTCCCCCGTCAGTAGTATCAGTGGGGAGAACAGTCCCCTATCGGTAGTATCAGTGGGAGGAACAGTCCCCTATCGCTAGTATCAGTGGGAGGAATAGTCCCCTATCGGTAGATCAGTGGGAGGAACAGTCCCCTATCGGTAGTATCAGTGGGAGGAATAGTCTCCTATCGGTAGTATCAGTGGGAGGAACAGTCCCCTATC